GAAGTGAATTCTCAATTTGTACATTAAGCCTTGGGCCAATTTCACGAAACTTGTCTTACATGTTTACAAATATAAAAATTAACGCATGCATTTATGAGATAAGACGACCCTCAGACCATAGAGCAATGCTCAGACCGATCTCAATGTGACACCGGAAAATGTGACACGACAAGGATGGTGTACATTACTGTGTCTGGTTCATTTAATGGTGAACTGCATCTTTTAAGTGAAGCAAAACAAAAACAAACATCTTGAGGCATTAACTAAGAACATATGTAGAAGAAAGCAGGACACTGTGTGTGGTGTTAACAGTACCAGTGCTAGTGGTAGAATGACTCACTCAAGACAAAGGATAAGTGTGAGCTTTACCTTAAGGGTCAAGCGAGGGCGCTGCGCAGGAGAAATATGTAAATGAGCTGTCACATCAAGTTAAGACAAGTTCAGCCACGTTGCTAAGGAAGTTAGGACGTGTTGAACGTGTCTTAAGTTTGGTGAAATTGATCCTAGGACGAGTCCCGAGTTAAGACGAGTTACCCTTCCTAAGACGCGTCTTAGCATTTCGTGAAATCGACCGCTGTGTGAAATCGACCGGGGGCACTAACACTTACTTTATTATCCAATCTCTAGAGATTCTCTAGAAACTGCATAATTTTAACTACAAAGCTGTGACTATAGGAACGGCCTCAGGTCGACCTGCAATTTGCTTGCGTTGCAACGAAACCATGGCATCAAGCAGAAAAGTAATACTTAAGTCACAAAACTGAGACACTGTGTGATTCTCGTCGAACAAGAGGCATCTCGACACAAAATAATGGCAACCATGCTCATGTCACTCATGACATGACAGTTCTTTGGCGTAGACGTGATCATGTGGCGTCTTCAAATGTCGGTGCGTGTGTTGGTAACAATCAAACGATCTTCCACGGCCACGTCTATTCATTCAGCCATTTTTGCTGCATGCATGAAATAAGATCCGGATGCGCGACGATGTTGTAACTTCACACAGGTCGATTACGATTGATTCCCGCCTGTCCGGATCATGTTCCATGGTGGCGCAGAAGTTGAATTTTTTTTACTCTTGCGACTTGATTTTTTTTAGCGCCGACTGATGCTGATCGTCATATCATCGCAGTTACACTCAGGCCGCAAAAGATCGCCAACTGAAATGTTCCGGACGGTTGTAGGACTTGTAGCTCGGGCGCAGCTTGATCCTGAAAAGTCATTCGCCGACTGTTCTGTGTCGTCGCAAGGTTGACCTGAGGGCGGCCTAACAGCTTCAAAATCCATTAAGCTTAACAACCCAATTCCATATCACAAGGTACAAATATACTGCTTGTCTACAAATCTTGAAGAACTTGTTGAATTTGTTTATGAACAGGGTGGTTAATGTTAAATCCCCTTGATTTCTTTTGGCCTGTTCCACACAATGCCATCACTTGTTTGCTTCTGTGGAATGGGCAGCAGGAAAGCTAGCCACCAATAGCTGCCAAACACCTCTTGCAAGTTCCTCTGCGGTCCTCGATTGAACGTGGTGATTCTATTGCCATACTCATGGGACGTCTGGCAATGCAGTGCTCGCTGGAAATGGAAGTAGAAAAGGCCGGCGCATCCGATTCCCAACATCAGACTAATGTAGGCCAGAGTGAGGGTGCCGTACAGATACGAGGGAGTGAAACCGAAGATCCACTTTGCCGTGCTGAACGGGTAGAGGTAGTTGTACGCCTCGGCCGAGAGAAGCACGGCAAAGTTGGCATTCAGGTACACGAAGAGGCAGACAGCACCATGCAAGGCAGCAACCGTGGCGTAAAACAGGAACACCAGGAAGTACCTCTGGTTGAAGTGGCCCACGCAGACACCCAGGAAGTAGCAGTGCCTGTCTCTCTTGAGGATGCATCTCTTGCAGATGGGGCAATGGTGTGCCCTGGGTGGGATGTACTGCTGGCACGGCACGCAGTGGTCCCAGCCCTTGGCAGTAGCTTCGTCAGTGTTGCCTGTTCCTGCGGCGGACGTGTACACTGAGTTTTTCCACAAGCAGATGAAGTAATTGACGAACATGCTGGCCGCAGCCAAGGTGAAGAACCACCAGTGGAATTTCAGCCAGAAATCATCCTCCTTGAATAGGCTGGGGAGGATGCAGAAGAGGTTGACGTACAGGACCAGAGAGGAGACTACCCAGAAGTACACGACGCCGGCGATGTTGGCCAACCGCAGCAGTTTCATCATGCTTGGCTGAGTAAAGTAAGACATGACTTGTTTGGCCTTCTCTCCGACATCCATCTCGCAAGATTCTGATGGAGAAACAGTCATTATAACAATGAATACATGTACTCACCAGAGTTTTTGGTTAATTGGAAATACATGTATTTACAAGTACGGCCATAAAATTGAAAGTTATCCAGGAAAATGTAGATAGCTGGGAGTGGGAAAAACTGTTATTTTGTAACTTCTTTGTTCACTGTATGGTATTGTTTTTGGTACTGTTTCGCATATGGCAGCAAAGAAATCAAGGTAGGCAAAGGTCTGTTTAACACCGTAAACACCCGATTTTTCTTTGACCAAAGCATGACGAAGCCAAAAAAATGAAACAATTTTTTGTCACGTTATTTTCTCCGTACCGTGTTTCAAAAAGTCTTGTTTTAACACATTGATGTTATATTTAGCCTATAATTTTTTATGTAAATTACACGTAGGGCCTACAATAATATGTAGATAGGCTAGCCCTACAAACAGTGCTGTCAATGGCTTTCTTTAGTATTTGGTCTTATAATGCCAAATGGCGACAATAACAAGAACAAATTCAAAAGAGATATATTCATTGATTCAATGTTCATGCTAATGCGCCTATCAAATGCACCCATCAAATCCCCCCCCCCCCCCCCCCCCCCCCCCCCCCCCCCCCCCCCCCCCCGCACTGCCCCAGGACCGATGTCGGGATATGTGGTCACTTTTTCCTGCTCCAGAAATTGAGCTAAGGGTGGGCAAATGGAAACTTGTTACATGGCGTATTTCATTGGAAGACAATCACTAAAGCACCCCACACGGCAGAGATTGTCACTTCAATTTTGCCCGAGGGATGGGGACTTCAAAAGTGATAATCCCCACGTCTTGGGTGGAGCTAGCAGCTCGGGCCGGGAGGGGGAACATTGATAGGTGCAGTGGAGTGTCAAACTCATGGCCTAGCGGTTAAGAGCACCGGACTCGAGTTCTGGTGTTTCAGAGGCAACAGTGACGTGGGTTCGAGCCCGCCGGCGGACACTTGCGCTCTTAAGCAAGGCACTTAACCATTATTGCTTCATCCTTTTGGATGGGACGTAAAGCCGTAGGTCTCGTGTGTTGTATAATGCACGTAAAAGAACTCAGTAAACACTTATCGCTAAGAGAAGGGGTCTGCCCCGGTGTTTCTGGCCTCCTGTATAAACTCCCACATGGAGTATTTAGGAGAAGAACCAACCAACATGACCAAGAACCAGAACCAAGAACCAGAACCACCATAACCATGATAACGTTATCGGCTAGCCCTCGGATGCCGAATGGCTGCCAATCATTATGCATTCTGTGAATCAGTATTTCACAGATAAATACGGAAGTGTATTTAGGACATGACCAAAACAAAAATTTCCGGCCCTCTATTTCGCCCGGGCGGATTACTATTTCGCCCGGGCGGATTACTAATTCGCCCGGGCAGATTTCTAATTCGCCCGGGCGAATTATTATTGTGCCCGGGCGGATTACTAATTCGCCCGGGCGAATTACTATGTCGCCCGGGCGGATTACTATTTCGCCCGGGCGGATTACTAATTCGCCCGGGCGGATTACTATTTCGCCCGGGCGGATTACTATTTCGCCCGGGCGAATTAATAATTCGCCCGGGCGAATTACTATGTCGCCCGGGCGGATTACTATGTCGCCCGGGCGGATTACTAATTCGCCCGGGCGCGGATTACTATTTCGCCCGGCGGATTACTATTTCGCCCGGGCGGATTACTAATCCGCCCGGGCGGATTACTATTTCGCCCGGGCGGATTACTATTTCGCCCGGGCGGATTACTATTTCGCCCGGGCGGATTACTAATTCGCCCGGGCGGATTACTAATTCGCCCGGGCGGATTACTATTTCGCCCGGGCGAATTACTATTTCGCCCGGGCAAATTACTATTTCGCCCGGACGGATTACTAATTCGCCTGGACAAATTAGTAGTCTGCCCGGCCGGGAGAATTAGTAATCTGCCCTGGCGAATTAGTAGTCTGTCCGGGCAAATTAGTAATCCGCACGGGCGGAATAGTAATCCGCCCGGGCGGAATAGTAATCCGCCCGGGCCGAATAGAAATCCGCCCGGGCGCGGGCGAAATGCTAATCCACCCGGGCGAAATACTAATCCGCCCGGGCGAAATAGTAATCCGCCCGGGCGAAGTAGTGAGCCTAAAAAATATTTTCGGTCATGTCCTATTACGCTTCCGTAGATAAACACTCGGGTCGTATTAAACGCGGTTAATCATTTCATTTCATGCCCAGCCCAGCATTTAAATAACTCTTTGCCCTTCTGAATCTGAACCTACATTAATCTCTAAAACCAGATCGCAAATTAATTGTGGGTAATCCTGCCTGTACTCGGCACCGGCGATCGATCGATACGACGACTAGAGTAGACACGAGGATCACGTTTAATTTGGATTTTAGAATGGTAAAACAGCGCCCTCTACATACAGGCAAGGAAAGTAAGGACGGCTATAGCCTTTCACCAAGGCCATCGACGCGCCCAGATGCTTGCACAAAATTTAAAAACAAAACATGCGAGTCTAGTTTTCCACGAGATCGTGACCGCGTAATTGTTCTTACATTATCTTATTTTAATTTTACTTGTAAAAAGTATTTCAAGAAATTATTTGAGTGTATGAACTTATTTTGATCTGAACTTACAGTTATTTCGCAACTCCGCCGCTCTAAGCCACGATGGCCTTGGCGAAAGGCTAGGTCGGCCACGGCCGACGACCTGAAATCAAAAAGGGTGATCAAAGGGTGATCCAACAACAATTAATTGTTATTTTATAATTGATTGATTTACCATGGATTCCAAGTATTATCCCCAGAAAACTCCCAAAGTTTTAAAGGACTTTTCAATATTTTGCTGGTGACCGTGGGCTAAAGAAGCCGAAGTGGGATATGAAGCCGAAGCGGGAATGATGCCGCGGCTTATTAATTATGGCAATCTCAAATAGAAATAGAGCTAGAGGGCGCACTTCGGTCATTCACGAATGTCGATCTGCAAACCCGTCGTCTGTGTCCCGTAAAAACTTGCTACCGAAAAGCTCATTTTGCGTCCCATAACAACGAAAGTATTTTGTTTTTAGCATTCTTGACGTAATCCTGGTGGCATGATGGACCTATCTGATGTGCCGGAAGAAAGGATCGAGCTTGAAAGGGGGACAACAGGTTTGTTTTTTTGGTCGGCATGGACCGGTCGGTCAGTTAGTCATTTGTAGCGGCATAGCGTTAATGGGTGGGAAACCCCTTCTAATATAAAATGGCGATCGTGTAGTGTAGGGCCCCTGTTTTGTTTCGATCAAATTAGAATGGCAGTGTATATTTTGCCGGAGACGGCAAACCTTCAGTAAACGTTAGTTTGCCGGATATGCACTGAACATGCGCAGTTACTGTTTTTTTGTAGGCCTACTTAAACATTTTCCGATGACAAGTTTTAGTCTGGCTCCATGCCAAAATTATCTTTGTTACCTCGTATTCACAAGATGGGATTCAGACCATTTTATAATTTCGGGGAAAAAATTCCATACTCGGACGTCACTTTTTTCAATTAATTTTCTAGCGCCAAAAGTTACATCTTTTATGGTTATTCCTCCACTTTCCCTCCTCTACTCTCACCTTCTCCTTTCCTTAATTTTTATTTATTAATCAGTCAGTTACTTCATCGGGATTCGAACCTCTGACGCTTGCTTGATACACGAGACTCTTAACCGCTAGGCTGCGCACGATCGCTGTTGCAATCATCAATCTTTGGACGTATTTGAAGTATCCATTGAAATAAACTAAATATTCATGAGAAAATAAATATTCATAATGACGTATTGCACTATCATTGGCAGGCTCATGCGACGTCATGGTTGTTGATGTCACGTGTATAACGTACCGCTGTCTTTTCAGCCACTACAATCAGTTTTGACCGGCTGCCTCAAGTTAGTTCTGCACGACGTATGCATCCAAAATGTGCACTAAAAACACATTTTGAGTAAAAAATTTTCGCCTTTACACAGCTTCCTGGATTTCTCTTGGTTCAAACGACAAGGTGAGGTGACAATTAATATGTTTGGCAGCAGATAAATTGACATCCGAGTATGGAACTTTTCCCAATTTCGGACTTTATTTCCTTAAAAATCCTCCAGAGCCACAAATCTGAAAAAGAAAATGTAATAGGGCCTACTCTGCAAAAAATGTTTGAGACATGTTAAAATAATAAAAGAAGAATATTCTTATTTATTTGGGGATGAGAAAAAAACAACTTTAAAATGTGGTGCGGTCGGAATCGAACGCGAGTCATCCCGCTTACTAGAGCCTTTTCTTAACCATTACACCAAACGTGCTACACAACTTTTGGTGGGAATTTAATACATCTTATAATTCAGCCCTATTTTAAAGAGTACAGCGCCCTCTGTTGATATGGATTGCCGCCGGCAAACCTTTAGTAATCGTTAGTTTGCCGTCATTACCTCCGGCAAAATATCCACTATCGATTAGAATCAAGAATTTGTTTTTTTACTAAAAAAAATGACATTGTCAACCTAAAGCAGACTTCTCTCAATGTAATGACACCTTTTTGGTAATTTTTGAACAGTTTCTTGGGCATGTTGGGGTAGAAACTAGAATTAGCTTGAGTAACTCCAGCTGACATGTTACATATTCATTCACATGTAACGCTGGAGGAACAACCTGTTCGTTTCCATGTGGTAGCAAGAGACCCTAAAAAAATGGCCTCTCCAAAATTGTCCGAATTTCACCTCTTTTATCCCACCCCAGAGTTCATTTACATACCTCATACATTCAGCAGTCATTTACGAAGCCTAATGATCGACTTGAAACAGACCACAAAAAAAAGAAGTGAAAAATCTTGACGATTTCGGTGGCTTGTCCGTAAAAATACGCCAGTTCCAACCGCTGTCTTCCATTTTGTTTTACTAATTATGTAAATGTATGCATCACGTGATTACATCAAAAAAAATCTGCGCGAGCGATGTATGTGGGTACCACACCGCTTTCAGGCGCCGCAAGTGAGTTCAATTTTCGTCTGGTGCGTTGTCGCGGAAAGCAAGACAACGAGAATGCCCTTTTTGCTTGTATTTTTAAGGGAAATGGAAAATATCGGCAAAAAAAGTGACAATGACCTGACCATGGTATGAAATCCGCATCTAAGTATGGTTAGTAGTTCCAGCTTTCCTGGCGAATCTCCCCATGGATGTCATAAGCCTAGAAAGCTGGAAATTTTAAGCTAGGTTTATGCCTTTTTTTGCCAATATTTTAAATTTCCTTTCAAATAACAAGCAAAATCTCACATTTGTTTCACTATTCATCCTTTTTGCAGCAGAGGATCCTCTCAAAATGACAATACGATCCCTGTATATGATACGACCATAACCCAGGCACAACGCAATTCTTTTGTACCCACCGGTCCTGGAGTTGCACTAAAAATCCCTTTTTTGGGGGGTTCAGCTTGATCGTATTGTTATTCTGAGAGAATCCTCTGAAAAAGACTTGACGGCTCTTTTGTGATGCACTGTGAGTGGTCCATGCATTCTCCTTTGATATCTCGCGGACCGCCCTCAAACAGAGATGCCACTTTTCCGGTTTTAGCCGGAATTCCGTTTTCTTTTTTAAATCTCACAAAATTCCAGTTTTTCCGGCCGTCAAAATATACTGGAAAGAGAGAAGAAAAACTGTGGAAATGCATTGATTTTTACCTTGTTAGCGCTCTCGAGTTTAGTACATTTAGGCGCACGTACGTACGCGTGGCACAACGTTGTTAGTTGAAGTAGTCTTAAAAACAAGTGATACAGGCGGCCAACGTACTTGCAGGCAGTATACAACGGCACCTCACGTGTGCTTCACCATGCTAAGCTCATGTAGCATTCAGCCTGGAAATAAGTCTATCGGTGGTTTCCGGAGGTTTCTGATCGCAGTGATATATGTGAATACAAAAAACGCTAGGGTACCCACCATGTTTTACGTCGTGCGCATTGCGTAGTGCAAAGTCATGTACATTGACAGTGTTGTGGAATCGTGCATGTTTCGTGTCGAATATTACGTTGGAAATTCGGGTAAGCAGAATAAATAATAGGAATATGGAAACTTTCAAAGTGATTGAATGAACCGACAGCTTAAAGAACATAGAAGCAAAAATAAAAAATAAATGGAACTGGGCTTGGGGACAAGATAAAGATGACAACGGGGACTTTGTGTTGGAGTGGCTTTTTCACGAAGAATATGTTCCGTTTTTTTCAAGCAGCTGTTTCGGTTTTTTCAAGCAGACCATGTGGCATCTCTGCTCAAAGTGCATCATCAAAGAGTCGTCGTGCTGCAAACCTGAGTCCCGAAACCATGCCAGTACAACAGGCATGTGTGCGCGTGGTGCCACCGGTAATCGCAAACCATCGTTAGATTCGATCGAAAATAAAATTTGAATGAAAATAAGAAATTAAGAATTCTGGCAAATTTTTCTGGTTTTCTTTTCAGGACTGGGTTTCAATATTAAAGGTGGACGGGACCAGCCTCATGTACCACGTGACTCGGGCATCTTTGTGACGAAGATCCGAGAGGATGGAGGCGCGGCGAGGGACGGTAGGCTACAGAAGGGGGATAAGATCGTTGAGGTATGTGATGTGTCTGATGAAATCTTCAGTCTATAGACTCTGTGCATAAGCCATGTCAACAGCAGAGCACCAGAGGGGAGGGACAAACCATTTGCCTGCAGTGGTTTAAACTTAAATTCTTCAATAGCGTGGAGAAATAAATTAATTAGATTGTGTCTATGTGGAATCCCACTTGAGTGAATTCTTCAAATCGTCATTTCCTTGCAACAAGGTTGTATCTCCTAAAATGGCGCATGACGTCATGTACGTGAAATGCGATTTTTCATTGTCAAAAGGTCGTATCTCGCTTAAAATACCCTGGATGTACACACAAAGTCAATGGATGTCGCATTACGCGAGATACGACCTTGTTACACGGAGCGTATTCGCGCGAGAGACGACTTTGTTGCAGAATCGAGTTACGACCTTGTTGCACTGACGCGACAAAATCATGTGTACCTACCGGTAGTTGATACTACATGTATCAATGCAGAGGTATTTAGCTGTTACTGTACATGACCTGTGGGTGACCCAGTGCTTGACAGCCATATTTACCACACACTTCCTTATTCAATTAGGTGTCTTTAGCATTCCTTTAACAGCAGTTTCTTTAAAGGGAAAATACAACATTTGCAAACATCAAAAAATAAAACTACCAAATCATTTTGAAATACCTTGCTGGACTGTTAGTGAATGACAGTGTAAAGCATCCTGTAAAATCATGGCACCTGGTATACTGTCATTTTCAAGAAAAGTGGTATTTTTGTATCAATTTCCAACGCTGATCGGCCGATCATCGTTGGAAACAACTGGCTTTTTTTCTCAAATACTGGCCCCAGTTGACCATCGCAGTTGTTTGCAATCGATTACACACCTATGAACGGGTACAAGCCAGCTAGACTGGTTCCCTGACCTTACAATTCCCCAATATATGTAAACTGCTCTGTTTCTTCTTAAATGGAGTCAGGGAACCAGACTACAGGAAAATTATTGTTTTTCTTGGTTTTTATAGCATTTTCGAACCCAAAACCTCAAAAAAGTCAGTGTACCTATATTTGCTATATATTTCCAACCCCCCAATTCCATCCATTTCTGAAAATTACAGCAAAAGCAAATGATGTATATTCCCTTTAACTAAAAGGGTTTAACTTATATAGGTTTCAAACTAGAAATTCTAACAGACAGCAGCCTGACTGAAAAGTTTTTAGGGTGTTGAATTAGAAAAAAAGGTTTTAGTGCTTCTCATCTCACATGTTGGAACTGTATGTGTTTCTGTTTTTAATTTGTTTGGTGTTTGTTTGTGTTGGGGGGAGGGAGAATTTCTTTTAAAGAGTTCTCAAAGAAAATTTCTTAGAATTTGTTATATTCAGCACCATTTATACCTTCTTCATGTTCTTGGAATTTCAGTTAAAAAGATTACATGTCAATGAAATCTGACAAAATTTTGTTGTAAAAGTGTGTTGAAGTAGCGTACATGTGCATCATAACTTCCTGTAAATGCTTGAAATAGACATCATGTTACCAGCTTAAGGTAATGCTCAACGGTGAAACATAGCTAGGATTGAAATGCAAGTGTTATTTCAACTTGAATAAAACTGCCTACAAATTGAGTCCACGATAAGTTAAGACAAATTGAAGCGTTTTTAGATTGGACATGATAAAAGGAACAAATTCTCAAAAGTTCTCTAAAAAAATTCTTATGCCAGAAATTATTGCATTTCTAATTTTAAAATACATCCACATGTAAGACAGTTTACCATTCCTATTGGTTGAGAGCCCGTCACATGGCCAGTGTGAAACGGTGGATAAAACACCGGCTAGCTGGCCCTAAACACTTTTACAGTGTCACATGAAATTTGGACTCCTATGAAATCTGGTTTATGAAATCTTTTACCTTTTATTGGTTAAACGTTCACAATCTTCCCTTAGGGCGGCATGTGCAATACTACGTACCTATGAGTCCCTGTTTCATAGTCCTAAATTCACACTACACCAGCACCACTGCGTTCTGCGCCAAACGGCGCGCAGTACGTGCTACATGCGTGCCAATCTCCATATAAGGAGATGTTTACGACTACTAGCGAGAGGCACATAGCATAACATACATGTACATATAGCTACATGTAGAGGGTGTTAAAAAACATGAAGTAAACTTGTTGAACCTTTGGATGTATAATTTTTGACTTGTTTTGACTTTTTGACAGAAAAGGTATTGACATGAATGGGAATAAATGTGCTTGGCGGGTTTTAAACAAGTACGTTTGAGACTGGCTTGGAGCCTGGTTGTCAACATCCAGTCCCCAAGCCAGTCTTAAACGGAGTTTATTTAAAACCGGCCAAGTACATTTTTATTCCCTTACATGTACCAGTATTTATGAAGCAGATGTCTTCAGGCAGTCAACTGCATTGTACCTAGAGCTTTAAAACTGAATCGATGTTAGACTTTGCAAGGTGTATAGGCGCGTACTTACTAAGCCAAATATACAATATATGTATACCCCAAGGAGAGACTGCCCAAATTAGATATCCTATCTGCTGCCATTGAAAGTGCCCAAGTGATCATGAATCATGAGTCAGTTATTTCAAGTTGGGTCGTGGGAAGGTCGGCGGGTACTGTAGCTCAACCACTTTTCCTTTTGGTGTGCGTCTGGATGTGTGTATTAGAGTTGACTACGTTCAGAAGTTTCCTTTTTCAAAAAGTTTGACTGAGTAGTGGGAACTTTGTCACTTTCATAGTTGGGGTTTTGCAAATTAACACATGATTAAGGTTGGACGTGTTAGACTACAGAAGTATCAAATTACTCCAAAGTATCTTGCTCATAGTCAAGTCATGTACATTGTATTACGATATATATTTAACAATTGTTGACTAGTGTGATGTGGGATATGACATTTTGAACACCTGAGGGTATTCTAAACATCATATCCCACATCACACCACCAGTCAACAATTGTTTTGTAATACCTATGTCTTGGATTCTTTGGATTTTATTGTAAAAATCACGATAACAAACTACAGTAAACACAACAATCATGAGACGACATCAACTCACATGCATGTCGCGTGCTTGAAACAGCTGATAGTCTGCAAGTTCGCTGCGTTTTACTTGTGAAACACGTACAATCAAAGTCATAGCACACTCCCTGTGGGACATCACGTACGTGATATCCCACAGGGAGTGTGCTATGACTTTTTATAAACTTAACACGTGATCATTCTTGGCCAATAAAAATACAGTATTCAAGGTACATGTACATGTATAACAAACACGTACATGTATGTATGTCACATACATACGTACGTGTACACTCAGCTTTGTGTTGCATATCAAAAATGGTCATATGAAGCCTTTTAAAGTAATTACCACAAACTATTTTTTTTGGCTACCAAATTACCATTCTCACGTTTACATTGTAATAATTTAGTTAAAATCATTGCACTATAACTGTTATAAAACATGTACATGTACATTGAACATGTTTCAGTACATTTATTGAAATTTTCGAAGTTTCTTGTCTGTGCTGAAAACTTGTGATATAGTGCAAATATTTCGCAAAAACTTGATGAAACTGTTGACTGTAATTTTGGCCTGTGGGTAGATTTGTAAAAGTTCATTTATTGATGTTGATTGGCACAGTTTGAAACGGTTACATGCCGAAGTCCACCATGGTGCAGTATCAACCAAGTTTTGGCCGTGCATTGGGTGACTTTGGCAAGTTGACCCCCAACCAAGCGCAGCGGTAATTTGCAAATTGACCCTTCCCCCGTGTCCCCCCGAACACGATGACCCGTCCTAAAGAGTTGACATTGAATCTCATCTCCTCTCCATCTCTCTGCTTCTTCCTGTAGATAAATGACAAGGATGTCAGGAATGTGCCCCACCAGGATGCAGTCAATGAGTTTGTGAATGCCGGCGAGAAGGTTGTGCTCGTTGTACAACACGGCGCTGAGGATATACTCAGGGTAGGTTACAAGGCTAATGGAGGGGGGCAGGGGGTGAGGACAGGGAAGGAGTAATAAGTTTTTGTTTGCTGACTTCTTCTATATTTCAGATCAACATTGATTTTTTCACCATTAGAAAAAATGCACATATTATGATTGTATATTTCAGATTAACATTGATTTTTTCATCATTAAAATTAACATTGATTTTTTTCATAATTATAAGCTTGGTTTCGTGAGAGGCTAAAGCCCCTGTCACACCTTTGCGTATCCTAATTCCTTATGAGTTCCTTATCAAACATTTTCAATACGCAGCCGTACGCTCAATTAACGTCAAAATGTTTTGATCACTTTGACTTATGTGCGACGCACATCTAGTGTACAAGTAACGAATTCAGTGCATCCATTGCGTATGAGATGCGTATGAGTTGCGTATGCAGTGCACAACATTATTTTTCGGGCTGCGAATAGGTCAGTATGCAGTGCGCATGCCGAGCGTATTCCGGACGCACCCGACTTATGCCGACCGCATGCTTGACACACTTCTGAGCGTATTCCCGCCGCATTTTCGCCGCTCGCCGTCCAGCGTGCGTTGCATCTGCGCTGCAAGTACGCTATGTATACGTCCAATACAGGCTGACTCCTATGAAATCTGATGCCAGCTCCGTTTTATTGGTTTAACATTCACAATTCTCACTTAGGCATGCGCAATACTACATGTACCAGTGAGTCAGTATTTCATGGCCCTAAATTCACACTACACCGGTACATCTGCGTTGTGCGCCACATCACGCAGTTCGCACGACGCGCGTCAATCTCCATATAAGGAGTTGTTTACCAGAGGGCCTTACCATTGTATAGCCAGAAGGGTGTTTTTTGATGGAAATTGTTGAAATTTATAATTTTGACTTGTTTTGACTTAGGATCGAAAAGTTTGATGCTTAGTGTGAACTGAGTTTTAGAATTAGTGTTCAAAGTCGTTCAGAGGCCTAATATGCCAACAGTCAAGTAACTGGGGAAGAAGTAAGCTGAACTGGGGAAGAAGCCCAGATTTAGAAATTATCAAGGCCCCTCAGACCCCTCCCCCCTCCATCCCGTCCCCCCCCCCCCCCCCATCCCGTCCCCCCCCCCCCCCCCCATCCCGTCCATTGTAATTACTGCTCCAATATTGTTCATGTTCCTGTTCTGAAGATGTCAAGTACTGTACTGAAGATTCCTATGTTAATCCCCAGCTGAAATACTTCTTTCTCTGACAGGAACAGTATGCCACACTTGAGGAAGCAAAGAAAGCCCTGGTCCCGGCAGGCACGTCCTGGAAGTGGGTGGCTCTCGTCGCTGCAGGAGCGGTTGCAATAGGAGCAATCTATTTCATTGTCAAGCACCGTAAACACTGAGAAAAAAACAAGGACAAATTAAATTTACACTTTGTTTTTCTCCCTTACAGGAACTCAATTCCAACTCAGTCATAGATATAACCAATAGATTTAAATATTTTGAAACAAGGCGGTGGTAGCACCCCTTTGCGGGCAATCAATCGTAGCAGCCTAATTTGCATTAGCAATTCATGGACACACACACATACACCATTTCCGCTTGATAGTATCCACCTAGCTGTGATGACAGAACAAGTTTGTCGCGTAATCAAAAGGGCTTATAATTATACATACATGTACATATTGTGATTACATGACAAAAACAAATGAATTCCTGGCTTTAGTGCATTTTTGCATTGTTACCAAGGGTTTGGACTGAAAAGACTTCTAGACAAAAGTGAATGAACCAAAATTGCTGTTACTACTCCGAGTGCGTATTCCTGTTTTATGGTGTTCAAATTTTGAATGAAAACGGTAGGAGCGTTTGTAATAGATTAAAGAATTAGCAAAATCATACAGCATAAATTATGGGTTTTTTGTGTGTAAATGTTCAGTTTAATGTTGTTCGGCTGTTGATGTACACATAGTGTTAAGTCTTTCTTGGCCTCAGCTTTCTTTCATATTTTTTTGGTCCCCTTTGCATTGCTGCATACATGTACTTGTGTTTCCCTAATTTCACCGTTTTCCATCACTTTAAGGTAGCGAAGTACTTGTACGCAATGTAACTCACCACAATGTAGAGACAACACTTATTGTACTTAATTCAGCGTTAATTTTCTTGTCTATGATGTCAGATTTCAGAGGGACCACTGTTGCATCCAACAGCAACCGCTTGGTTGTAAATGAAGCCAAGTCCACATTTGGTTTTTGTAATGGCTAGGTATTTCGCAGGAGCTAAAGCCGCAGCCCCAAAAATGCTGGATCTCCCAGTGAATACATATTCTTGTCATGTGTTAATCGTGCTTCTAGAGTCTAGCTGCAGTTGAACTGAACTTTGTTGATTTTTGTGAGTTAAAGATAAAATAACAAAAGAATTAGAACATGTTCAAATTTACTTTTTTTTTACACTGAGGCCCCCGGCACAAATTGAAAAAACTGGAGCTTAGCAGATACATACAACATTTTTTAGATATATGTCACCGGAATATTACTCAAACTGTTGAGCTTCAATATACTAATCAATTCAAATCAGGGCCAAATTTCAAGGCTCTGCCTACCCTTAGCGCAAAATCCTTGCTTACTGAAGCAGAAAATTTCCTGCTTACGGCAAGCGTATTTCACAGGTTGGTGAGGATTTTTGGCTGCTGCGCATGCATACATCCTGTGACTAAGGATTCTGTGCTTACAGGGTTAGCGCAGAATTCTTCTGCTAGCGCTGTTAGCAAAAAAATGGTCGCCATGTCACCTTGTTGAGGTTTCCTCCATAATACTTCCTCGTGCATTTTAACAGGATTGGTGATCGTACGCGCAGAATTCTTTTGTTAGTAGAGCCATGAAATTAAGCCCTGCACTGTGTATCTTAGCGGGATATCCCCCTTAGATTGGACCCAATTTGGTCAAATACTGTAACCGTACTGCCGTACCGTAAGTGCGTGTTTCATCAACAAGAACATAAAGTAGGTTTAGTAATGTGACATGATGATTTGATAGTCAAGTGTGTGATGTGATATGGAGAGGAAACACTTCAGTGTTTCTACACCCAGTCACTGCTCAATTTTTAGCTTGTAGAATTTGTATTAGTGTATTGCACCCTTTGTTTTCCTTTACGTGTTGCAAACAAGACTGGACAAATATACCTGGCCTTTTTTTTTTTTATTGCTTTTTTGTAGTTTTCTAAAAACGCTTTAAAAATCATACAAACATGTTTTACACTACTACAAATACATTTTAATTTGACTTTTATATTAAAAATATTGGTTTTGATATTAAAGCCCAATGTTGGTAAATCTTTCAAATGATTTTCACTTTGGACCTTACTGTTGATTGGTTAAAATTAAAAGCCTTAGAATGTCTATATGTGGATGTAAAGTAGAAATTTTTAAAATCTTATGAATCCCCAAATAATTCGCAAAGTAACTTTTGATTACACGTGTAAGAAATGATTATTAAATGGTGGTGTAAGTGTTCAATATGAAGCACTTTAAAATGTTCTGTAGCAAGCCCAACTTCATTTAAAATGTGGCCCAGAAACAGAATTATGTAATTTCTAAAAAAAAAAAAAGAGTTATTGTTTGGAACTCCAGAGATGTAGCTGAGAAGTGGTTTTAGAAAAAAAAGTATTCAAATATTGCTTTTAATAAACTCAAGTCTTACAATTTAGTGTAACTGGGAATTAAAAATGAAAGTAATCCGTCATATATTGCTCCGTTCCTTTCCTGGCACATGTACTTTCAAAATTATCGGACGGGTGTCATTAGAAGAGCTAAATTAGTGTGGGCAGTTGCAAGTTTTTGAAATATAGATAGGAATTAGGACAATCTTCATCACATGTTAAATGGAACAGGGTCTTGTTGAGGTTCTGTGCACAACTGTGCAATAATAAACCTACTGTAGTTATTCCAAAAGACCCTCCATTTTTTAATCCTTGCCAGAACAGTTATGGTGGAATGAATAAAGAAAAGATATATTGAAAATTGATTTGAGTAATTTTTTTTATGACTACGAGTTTGAAGTTTTGAGATTATGAACAAAAACAAAATTATCTCAACAGATTTGTTTTAATGTGTTGATGTCTCATTACAAAGCCAGGCCTGAGTAATCACTAATCAGGCTCTTCGTTGTGGCAATGCAATGTGTGGAGACCTGAAATACACAAAGTGGCCCAGGAAGGGGGGAAATTAAGAAAGAAACCAAATTTATAATTGGGATGTGAGTTCACAAAAGAAAACCAGAATAGGCATACACGCATCTTCGATAATAATACAGCGTGGGGCACAGCTAATTGAGAAAAAAATTCTAAAGGGTTACTTCCTGGATTGGTGTACATGCTAATTAATTCGATAGGCGATTAATTATGTGTACAACGAGCTGTTGTTGCACTACCTCCATGCACAAACCGTCTTTGCTGCTAGCTTCATGCAACGTAGCCCCGCCCCCTTTTAAATGCAATGCGCCGGACCTTTTAATCACATACAACCACAGTAGATCTTACCCACAATGCCACTAGCTAAGCCTTTGAAAATGCGTTGACTTGGAGCGTAAACTCCTTGTAATACATGGTTTTGGAATGGTTTTTGCCGCGGTACGGAAAAGGGTGATGCATCGACGATGAGGAAGAATGCCTTGCCTCGTCGTGTTGTCAAATGATACCTGAAAATAAGGATTAGGCTTTCAATTCATCAATAAAACAAATACAACAAGTCTGTGGATCCAGAACAAGTTCAAAGTTTTCATGATGTCGTTGCAGCCGAACTCTTTAGGATTTTGTAAGTATCCCCGTCTGACCCCCCCAAAAATGACGAGGGTATGTTTTGACGCACTCGCATTCAATTTGCGTTGGACAACTCGTGTGCGTTGCTAGCTCTACTGATAGTAGCCCAGGTGGACTCCCTTTCCTCCCTACGTAACGGAGGGAGTCCAGGGTATAAAGTGCTCAAAACCGGGCGAAAAAATGTATGACCAATATTTTCAATATTTTTACCTTGTTGGAGAAGCCAATTGTTACGTCGTAGTATTCTATGTGTCCTTATCTATTGGGCCGCTGGGTTCAGGAATTCCATATGCGATGCTGACCGCACTTAATCAGGAAAATAAACTCTAAAGCAACGTTAAACTTGAACGTGTTTGTAGACTGTTCTCATCAGTCTGTGACGTATGACCTCGTGTTTTTGGACGTGCGTGCGGCGGGGCCGTACGTCCAAAAACACGAGGTCATACGTCACAGACTGTTATGCATATTCATGAGTTTGCGCGGGCGCGCCTGCATATTGCATACATTACAGCGCGGCCGCCATTTTGAAATCGCATGGGGGATCGCATGGGGGACGATATTTGTGGAATCTGATGACTGAAATTCGTCTTGTGGCCAGATGGATGAAAATATTGAGACCAAACAACGTTTTTTTCGAAAAGGTATGAGTTGCTCTACGACTACGAACCTTAACTTTGGAAATTTGTGTCCTGGATGAAAAGATAATCGCGATCGAAAGATGTAGCAAAATCGCTACATCGGCGGCCAACAAAATTCAGTCTCTATGGAAGCATCGGGCGTCTGGCCGTACTACAGAGCTTGCGATCGTACTGTACGGCCAGACGCAGTCGGGCTACATAGTTACAAACCCACGCGAGGTAGAGACGGCTGAAACGTATTTTAATAACAATGGGATTTTCATTTGTCAGTATTAGTTGTTCTTTGATACAACAAGTTTCATGTGGGTATCTGTCGTCATTAATTTGTTTTTAATTTAGAACGTGTACGCTTCAGCCGTCTCCACCTTGCGTGTGTTCAAAGCCCATACTGTCGTACGGCGCGGATCGGAGCACGTATTATTACACGAAACAGTCGTTGATAAAGCGCGACTTGTTTTTCTTCGATCGAGCAATGACGGTGACGTCACGTCAGATGCCCTCATTCGGCAAACCGGTGCAAAGATTGAGCCTCACGGCGAACACATTGAGCTGTAACTAGTTTTCAGACTATTTTGCTGTTTTTCTTCAAAATTTTCGCTGTTTGGGAACAATGTAAGGGGTCTGATGGAATGTCATGAATGTGTAGATCAATCCAGGGTAACTGTCTCTCTCATTTGTATTCTCTTTACCGGTTTTTTGGGGGGTCTTTTTGTCCTCGCGTGGGTTTGTGACTATGCTACTGTGAAGCCGTCACCAAAGTATGCCAAGTCGGTGGAGCGTTTGTATGGAGGGGTACCCGTAATTCAACGCTCCACTCAGTAGAGCTAGTGCGTTGCAAGCGTTACCTGCGTCAATTACGGGGACTCGAGGATATCTATTTTCTGTGCTTCAGAATCGAGTCCCAGTGTTTGTCTAACCCACTCGGACTCCGTTGTGTATGTAACGACGAAAAATGACACACCTGGGGGAACTCGCGAAAACTAATACAACTAGCCTAGCTGGAGTTACCTAGCTCTACCGAGTGGAGCGTTGAATTACGGGTACCCCTCCATACAAACGCTCCACCGATTTGCCAATATCGGGAACAATATAATTTTGGAACATTATAAGGGGTCTGATGGAATGTCATGAATGTGTAGATCAATCCAGGGTAATTGTGTGTCTCTCATTTGTATTCTCTTTACCGTTTTTTGGGGGGTCTTTTTGTCCTCGCGTGGGTATGTACACTATGCTACTGTGACGCCGTCACCAAAGTATGGCAAATCGGTGGAGCGTTTGTATGGAGGGGTACCCGTAATTCAACGCTCCACTCAGTAGAGCTAGGAGTTACCCAGCCCTAAATGTTATCATTGGGTTGTCATTTAGGGCTGGAGGACATTTTTTACGCGAACCAGCAGAGTTGGCAGGTCTAAAAAAAATGTTTTGTCCCTGTTACACACTAATTTCAACTGGAACTCACCCAAACCTTGCCTGGAATAACCATTACACAGGTCCTTGAAGTAAAAAACGATCCACGATGAAGATTCGGCCTTCAATTGCAGTGAAAAAAGGAGGCATAAACTGACAACCGTGCGGTCATGGCGAGGACCGCAATTGGATTTGTGCACAGCGCGTTTACCAGTTCGTTCTTGCCGGCTGCGCTGGCTGATGGCGCATGACGTCACGCGGAAGCGGATTACCCGACGACTGTTTCATGCACGATAACCGGCTAACTTTGGTTGCCGTCCAGTATCGCAGCTATGATGCGAGTGGTAAACCTCAACAGTCATCGGGTATTCCGCTTCCGCGTGAGTTTTTTTTTTGGACCTGCCAACTCTGCTGGTTCGCGTGAAAAATGTCCTCCAGCCCTAAATGACAACCCAATGATAAAATTTAGGGCTGGGTAACTCCAGCTACAACTAGCCTAGGCCTATCATGACTATGGGGATTCTAACCAAACTAAACTAAACTCAGGATCTAAGTTTGAAGGGAAAAGTCGCGAGGAGATTGCATTAATAGGGACAAGGGACACAATTCTAGATTTCAAAACCAACAAAAAAAAAGACAAAAAGGATTTATTTATAAGAACTTCAAATCAAAGACCAATAACCGATACCATAAAACCAAAACTACAGATAAAGACCAAAAACTTCAACCTAAAAAACCAAAGACTTAAACCAAGTTAAAAACCAACGCAGTGTCGTATAATAATGGATCTTCAAAACACTTCTGGCTGAAAATCAATAACTCGAGCAGATAAACACTCACACAGGGCAAATACGCATCCAAGAAAATCAAGGGGAAAAAGAAGAAATATAATGCACAGTCCTCTCTCTACTGCCGCTGGTCTGCTACTGATCATGAGGGGTCTGTGGTCTAGAGGGTGGCAGGGTACATGGTCTTGGGACAGGGGGGAAGTAGGGAACCAATGGCAAGGGAGTACTGCTAATTTACATACTATGTGGGCTGTTACTGGGGAAAGCTAACCAGGGGGAAACACTACTAAGAAAGGGGGGAAAGGTCCGTGTACATACCGTCCAATCAGTTACCGTTTGAAAATTGTCAAAAGAAAAATGAAAAACGAACCCTTTACCGTTTACTGTATTACAATTTTGGTAAAGAAACAGAAAAAGGAAATAGTTTACCAGTTTCCGTTTATGCGTCTAAAAAACGAAAACAGAAAAACAAAAGTGTTGTACCTTTTACCATTTTTGAAATTGTAAACAGAAAAATGAAAAAGCAAACCCTTTTCCAATTTTTGGTTTTGGATTTTTGAACAGAAAAATGAAAAAGCAAACCCTTTTCCAATTTTTGGTTTTGGATTTTTGAACAGAAAAATGAAAAAGCAAACCCTTTTCCAATTTTTGGTTTTGGATTTTTGAACAGAAAAATGAAAAAGCAAACCCTTTTCCAATTTTTGGTTTTGGATTTTTGAACAGAAAAATGAAAAAGCAAACCCTTTTCCAATTTTTGGTTTTGGATTTTTGAACAAAAAAATGAAAAAGCAAACCCTTTTCCAATTTTTGGTTTTGAATTTTTGAAGAGAAAATGAAAAAGCAAACCCTTTTCCAATTTTTGGTTTTGAATTTTTGAACAGAAAAATGAAAAAGCAAACCCTTGTCCAATTTTTGGTTTTGGATTTTTGAACAGAAAAATGAAAAAGCAAACCCTTAACCAATTTCCGTTTTTGGATTTTTGAAAAGAAAAAGAAAAAGCCAACCCTTTACCAATTTCCGTTTTTGAATTTTTGAAAAGAAAAAAGAAAAAGCCAACCCTTTTACCAGTTTTTGTTTTGAAATTTTTGAACCAAAAAGAGGAAAAGCAAACCCTTACCCTTGTTTGCTTTTGAATTTGTGGAAAGAAAAAAGGAAAAAAGGAACCCTTACCAGTCACCGTTTTTGATTTTTTCAAAAGAAAAAGGAAAAAGCAAACCCTTTACCCGTTTTTGCATTTGAATTTTTGAAAAGAAAAAACAAAAAGGAAACCCTTTGCCAGTTACCGTTTTCTAATTTTAAAAAGAAAAAAAGAAAAGCAAACCCTATACTGTACACCGCTTTTGATTCTGTGTTCAGAAAAAGAGACAACGCATCGAGTTACAGCATTCCGCTTTTGATGCGTATAAAACAAAATCATCAATTGTTTTCCTTTGTATACAGTTAACATTATGTAAATAAACGCAGCACACTCATATCTGTCTCATTTTGTTTCTCTGAAACACAAACAACTATAAACTAAGACAACATTTTCTTTGCCAAAACAAAAACGAAAAAAGGGTAACAGGAAAAGGAAAAACGAAACCTGTTACCAGTCTAAGTCCAACGAAACCCGAGTGCGGCCGAGTTCGTCAGAAAGTGTCTCGCGGCTGTTTCCTGTGAAAAAAACCTGTCCACGGGGCATGGCGGGAACTCATGCGCGACCACGGGCATGCACTTGTACGCTAGATGATTCATCTTGACAAGTCGTCATATCGACTTCTGGAAGTCGACTTGGCTAGATAATTCATCTTGACAAGTCGTCATCTCGACTTCGGGAAGTCGACTGGACGAGATAATTTATGTGATTAAGTCGCCTTACTCTCCGCTATTTGTCAACGTGGCGTGATAAATTATCTCAATATATAAATAAGTGGATGGCACTCATGGAGCGCTGTACACTTGTTTACTGTACTTGCTGTAATTGCTCTCTTTAGTACGGCGCTCCATGAGTGCCATCCACTTCTATATTTACTCGGATAATTTATCACGTCATGTTGACATATCGCCGAGAGTAAGGCGACTTAATCACATAATTGTATCGCTAAGTCGACTTACCGAAGTCGACTTGACGACTTGTCCAGATGCATTATCTCTCCAAGTCGACTTTCAGAAGTCGACATGACGACTTGTCCAGAGGCATTATCTCTCCAAGTCATCTTCCATAAGTCGACATGACGACTTGTCCAGATGTATTATCTCGTCAAGTCGACTTTCCGAAGTCGAGATGACGACTTGCCCAGATGAAATATCTCGCTAAGTCGACTTCCTGAAGTCGAGATGACAACTTGTCGAGATAAATTATCTTGCCAAGTCGACTTACGATGTGGAGATGACGACATGCAAAAATCTCGTTCTGCATGGATATCCCGTTGTTGAAGCACTGTCGTGGATTCTTTCTTGTTCGTCGGTGCATTTGAGGTTTTCCCCACCCGTTCTTATATGAACAATAAACTGGCAGAGGAACAAGAGATAAACTGTAGGGTATTGATTTGATCTGGGTCGAAGTTGATTTGTGTTTTTTATTTTCATCTTGTTTTAAATTACTCCCCCAAGCTTCTGCCTTGTTTTCCCCTATTTATCCCGTTGAAAAGTAATTCACTTCACGTTAAACATTAACAATCAAACTGACTTGATATATCTAAATTATTGAATAGCATTGCTGGAAACTAATACCCGACTCCGAGTCTGAAAATGATATCAAAATGCAGCGTGGAGAGGCAATTAATGGTTGTGTCTCTTTTGTTGATGTTCATAAAACATGCAAAACGTCTGCTCGTCTATTTCCTTTCCACACATAAAGCGGCACAAAGACGAATGATTAATGATGTCGTTAGAGTTGTTTTCATTGAAAAGGTATTGTTGCTTTGATGCAAAGCGTTTGGGTATTATCATCTATGGAGAAGCTCTTAAGCTTGACGAACATGCAACGCATGATTGTATAGTTATGGGAATTTGAAAGGTTATTGTTGGTATAATTTTATACGTGCTTTTTCAAAACTTCGATTTTTCTTTTCCGAACGAAATGTAAAAGAATATAATGTCCTGCAACAAATGCCCCCCCCCCCCGGCGCTCCCCATTTAAAATCTTGAAATTAACACAAATTTGTCTTTGTCTTCAGTGCCCCAGATTTAATGTTGGCAATAAGAGCTTTTATCAAATCATTTCTCGTAATATATCAGACAAGAGTTCAGACAAGAGTTTTGCTAATTTTCCGATATTCCAATTTAAGCCGTGAGAGTCGTTTTATCTTAAATATGATCTCAATATGATTTAAAGCAAATCTTGAATTTGTAAGTGTCATTTTTAGGCAACATGTCAATAAAGACATTTTTGTGAATTTATGATTGTTAATGTTTAACGTGAAGTGAATTACTTTTCAACGGGATAAATAGGGGAAAACAAGGCAGAGGTGTGATTTCCTACGAAGCTTGGGGGAGTAATTTAAAACAAGTTGAAAATATAAAAAACACAAATCAACTTCGACCCAGATCAAATCAATACCCTACAGTTTATCTCTTGTTCCTCTGCCAGTTTATTGTTCATATAAGAACGGGTGGGGAAAACCTCAAATGCACCGACGAACAAGAAAGAATCCACGACAGTGCTTCAACAACGGGATATCCATACAGAACGAGATTTTTGCATGTCATCATCTCCTCATCGTAAGTCGACTTGGCGAGATAATTTATCTCGACATGTTGTCATCTCGACTTCAGGAAGTCGACTTAGCGAGATATTTCATCTGGACAAGTCGTCATCTCGACTTCGAGAAGTCAACTTGGCGAGATAATACATCTGGACAAATCATCTCGACTTCGGAAAGTCGACTTGACGAGATAATACATCTGGACAAGTCGGCATGTCGACTTATGGAAGACGACTTGGAGAGATAATGCCTCTGGACAAGTCGTCATGTCGACTTCTGGAAGTCGACTTGGAGAGATAATGCATCTGGACAAGTCGTCAAGTCGACTTCGGTAAGTCGACTTAGCGATACAATTATGTGATTAAGTCGCCTTACTCTCGGCGATATGTCAACATGACGTGATAAATTTATCTGAGTAAATAAAGAAGTGATGGCACTCATGGAGCGCCGTATGGAGCGCCGTACTAAAGAGAGCACTTACAGCAAGTACAGTAAACATGTGCATGCCCGTGGTCGCGCATAAGTTCCCGCCATGCCCCGTGGACAGGTTTTTTTCACAGGAAACAGCCGCGAGACACTTTCTGACGAACTCGGCCGCACTCGGGTTTTGTTGGGCTTAGACTGGTAACAGGTTTCGTTTTTCCTTTTCCTGTTACCCTTTTTTCGTTTTTGTTTTGGCAAAGAAAATGTTGTCTTAGTTTTTAGTTGTTTGTGTTTCGGAGAAACAAAATGAAACAGATATGAGTGTGCTGCGTTTATTTACATAATGTTAACTGTATACAAAGGAAAACAATTGATGATTTTGTTTTATACGCATTAAAAGCGGAATGCTGTAACTCAATGCGTTGTCTCTTTTTTCTGAACACAGACTCCAAAACGGTGAACAGTACAGGATTTGCTTTTCCTTTTTTTTTTATTAAAAAAACAGTAACTGGTAAAGGGTTTGCTTCTTCTTTCTTCTTTTTAAAATAAAAAAAATGGTAACTGGTAAATGGTTTTCTTTTTGTTTTTTCTTTTCAAAATTTCACAAGCAAAAACGGGTTAAGGGTTTGCTTTTCCTTTTTTTTTAATTAAAAAAACAGTAACTGGTAAAGGGTTTGCTTCTTCTTTCTTCTTTTTAAAATCAAAAAAATGGTAACTGGTAAATGGTTTTCTTTTTGTTTTTTCTTTTCAAAATTTCACAAGCAAAAACGGGTAAAGGATTTGCTTTTCCTTTTTTGGTTCAAAAATTTCAAAACAAATACAGGTAAAGGGTTTGCTTTTTTCTTTTTCTTTTGAAAAAATCAAAAATGGTGACAGGTAAAGGGTTCCCTTTTCCTTTTTTCTTTCCACAAATTCAAAAGCGAAAAAGGGTAAAGGGTTTGTTTTTCCTCTCTTTGGTTTAAAAATTTTAAAACAAAAACTGGCAAAGGGGTTGCTTTTTCTTTTTTCTTTTCAAAAATTCAAAAACGGAAATTAGTAAAGGGTTGGCTTTTCTTTTTTCTTTTCAAAAATTCAAAAACAAAAACTGGTTAAGGGTTTGCTTTTTCATTTTCCTGTTCAAAAATTCAAAACCAAAGAATGGAAAAGGGTTTGCTTTTTCATTTTTCTGTTCAAAAATTCAAAACCAAAAATTGGAAAAGGGTTTGCTTTTTCATTTTTCTATTCAAAAATTCAAACCAAAAATTGGATAAGGGTTTGCTTTTTCATTTTTTTGTTTACAATTTCAAAAATGGTAAAAGGTACAACACTTTTGTTTTTCTGTTTTCGTTTTTAGACGCATAAACGGAAACTGGTAAACGATTTCCTTGTTCTGTTTCTTTACCAAGATGGTAATAGGGTAAACGGTAAAGGGTTCGTTTTTCATTTTTCTTTTGACAATTTTCAAACGGTAACTGATTGGACGGTATGTACACGGACCGGGAAAGCTGGATTTGCTCAGGGGGGCTACTCCTATACTAAAGCATACAAAACTACACTGGGAAAATTCAAGTTAAATTTGGCCCTGCCACACGTACATGCAACGGAGTCCAGGGTATGAATCTCTCCTGCCATCGCGAAAAAAATTATAACACATTTTGTGCATAGCCTTTTTTTACCTGATGGAGGAAGCTGAAATTCTGCTTACAATATTCCTTGTGTCCAGAACTGTGCCTGCGCTGGGTTTAGAAAAGGCAAATATGTCCGCGGCCGGCGTGTTTACTGAAAATAAACCGCAATCCCACGCTTTTGTTGAAAACGTCTTCAGTATGAACTCCCTGTGTGAAGGTTACACGCGCGCGTGCATGCAAACCTAGCACACTGCCGCCACAGCCTGCAAGCGGCAGCAAACGGTGCGCCCGTGTACGTCTTCACACGGGTAGTTCGTATAGTCTGAGTAACTTGGACCCAACTTATCGCCTTTTCAACATTCGGACATGGTCTGGCGATAGTGGGGTCCAAGCTAAATGTTATATGCCGAGCAACACAATTCTGTCATTGACCCAAAAACCCAACATTGCCCAACAAAAACATCAGATTCCACCCTCAAAACGGCCTCCAAATTTCTAAATACACCACCTGAGGTACAAGTAGACATCGATAGTTAAGATGGTTGTACTGAACTTTACTTACAATCCGGATGAAAAGTGAAATTTCCCGTTCAATTCCGAGAGCTCCCCTCGCGATCGTGAACATGTTAAATTTCCGACTCGTGTTCATGTTTGAACGATGCGATGTGGTCTTCATGCCCAGCGTACATTCGATGGTTCCCGTATCCCGAGTGCGATTCCGTTTCCGAGCGCTCATGATACAACGTTTATGATAATGAGTAGGCTGGATCACGTTTGTAAACACAAGTGCATTTCGAACGGTAAATGGGAATCGGGAACCAGCTTGAACTGGTATCCGTCCATAAAAGCTGCCCTAGTTCCCGACTCCCTATTATCGTTCAAAATGATTTTGCACGCATGGGGTGAATTGTTTATCCACGACCCTAATTGTTGTCATGGGATGTGCGCATGCGTAGTTAAAGCAGATCTTTCCTCACCATCTAATCAAGACACCGAATGCGCTGTCTCAGTCTCTGCACACAGCAAGCTTGTGCATGGCGCACTGTACATGTATTTGAACATGGTTGAAACCATCAAAACCGCCACCCATATTGAAATTTGAAAAACCCTTCCTCTTAAAAAAAAATATGTCTCTCTGCACTATGTTGAAAGCACCATGCACGTGGTGAATGCTAATAAGTGAGATGTCATTGCTTTGATCATGAACATTAACATTATTGGTCCATAATATTTTTCTTTCTCAGATAAGACACCAGTCAGCAAGGGTCTACTGATTGGTATCGGCTGTCTGTCAACTAGCCTGCTCATTATGGGCCCACGTTACCAGCAGTTGTTTTCTTACACAATAGAATCACTCACACAGAAGTTGGAGGTGAGAATAAGAGACGATTGACAATATTAAAATATTAAATTTTTAAAACTCATCAGTCATATCAGCATTCATCTGATCATAATAAATGCCATAGTGTGAATCAGAACAAAAAGTTAAAGTTAGTATCCCCATGATGTTTAAATTTTTTGAATTTTTTGTCCCAACAACATTTCCGCATTTACAGGCAAATATTCCTTTAAAAAGGGAGCTTTGTATGTTGTGCTTGTTTCACGCTTGAGCTGAATTTAGGCTTGGTTCTAGTTGGGTGTTACGTTTGGTCTGTGCAGCATGCTTTGCTCGTACCCCCCGCCCTGCAAACAGGATGCTGGGAAGGGCTGACGAATTAACGCTCTGATTGGATAGATTTTGCGTGACCTGTGACCTGCAAGTCATCACGACCATACCACAACCCAGCAAGATTTGAAACGACCGTTAAGACTGAGTCATTCATCACTCTTTGATTCCCGGCCCGTTCATAAATGCGGCGCCCTTTTTTGGTTGAAAAAGCATAATAATGTAAATCAAATTAGGTTTTGCCCTTCACCGACGTTTTTTAAACACTGTATACTCAGTGTGTTACCTCCCGAGTGAAAGTTGGAAAAAATCACTCGGGTGGGACTCGAACCCACGACCTCCTGCTTTCTAGTGCAGATGTCTTACCACTCGACCACCGAGTTAATGGGATCGGTTGGTGGACATCTGCACTAGAAAGCAGGAGGTTGTGGGTTCGAGTCCCACCCGAGTGATTTTTTCCAACTTTCACTCGGGAGGTAACACACTGAGTATACAGTGTTTAAAAAAATTGTTGGTGAAGGGCAAAACCTAATTTGATTTATATCACCCCGACGCAAAATTCCATCTCATAATAATGTAGGAACTTATCTGTTTTGTAAATTTTCAACTCCCGTCAGTTGCTCAGGCTATGATTTCGAATTCATGAAGTGCATATCATTTGACGCTCAAAATTTGTCCACATGGTCCGCAATGAAAAAGAAATCACATCCAGTATGGTGTGTATGCATTTCTATGGGAAAGTTTTCGGATAGTATTTGCGCGCATTGGCTAACCGTGGTCTACAGCTGCAGCCAGATGCTTTATACATAGGTCATGATAAATTACCCAGAATGCCATCCCCACTTCCTTCACAAGATTCTGTGAAGCTCATCTGCCCTTCCCAGCGCCCTGTTTGCAGGGCGGTGGGTACGAGCGAATGCAGCGTGCATACACTTACGCACTTGAAGTGGTATGCATGTTAATATGGCATTGCTGTTGCACTCAGGGCATGACGATGATGATGGAATTCAGTGCTAGGTTGTGATGGCAGGGTGTGTTGTGGACATCCAATGAAGTCTGACTTGAGTCAAGTCTATTAGTCCAAGCTGAATTGAAAAAAAAAATTCGATAACATACTAAACATAGCGTCGACTCAGTTTTTTTGTGTTTGTTCAGTGGAGAGGTCATAAGCTTTGCAATGTGAACAAGTGATCAATTCAATTTTAGAATTCATATTTTAGGGTGCCACACCCAAAAAAGCCCTGTTGCCCTCCTAGTTACCCTGACAATCCCCATCCAGCCAAACTCCAACACCAGGGTTTGTTGGAATCTGTTAGGATGAGTACTGCACTAGTAAACTGATTATGCTTTACATCGGGTCAGGCATACCACCAATATAAATCAGAGTCCAACAGTTTGTGTACAGTTTACAATAATGGTGTTGGAATTGGCCTGAGTGAGGAAGGTTCCTAGTAAAACACTGTAGGGGTAAGGGTTAACATAAGAATGAATGTGAAAAAAAAAAACTGCAATAAATTTATCATAATTTTATTGCCAGTGTTATAGTCGAGTCACCAACGTCGAGTCCGAGTCCGAGACACAAGCCTCGAGTCCGAGTCTCAAGTCACAAGCCTCAAGTCCCAGTCTCGAGTCACAAGCCTCGAGTCCGAGTCACAAGTCACTTGTTCTTAGTGTTCACCAAACTAAACAATTTTTTTTTAAAATTATTTTTGAATCATTCATTCTGTATTTTAAGTAAATCCAAGTGTATACAGTTTACCTTGTGTGTGTACATGTTGTTTTGACCCAAAATGTGTTTTCCTTTTAATTTCCATCCCTAAACTTCCTCCATCCCTTCCCTCCATGTTTTATCATCCAAACATTGGGAAGCGCTCTGGTGTAATGCAAAGTAGTGTCCGCCTAGTATTAGCATTGTCGAGAATATTGCACTATAGCGTGTGTCCAGTGTGCGCCGTAAGCAGACACTTTTTGGTACCAGACACTTTTTGGCATGACACCGGGCCCTGGTGCTCGTCGTGCAGGCGCTAGGCGTGCCTGCGCGGCCCCTGGATACGATTTTCCGTGGCGCTGTGTTTTGTCCATGGAGTAAAAAAGAATGCTACGTTCATCACACAAATACGTAACGCTATGTTTTTTCTTTTGATGAAAATACGTGACTCGAGTCACGAGTCACCAAGCTGGAGTCCGAGTCATCAGGGTCGAGTCCGAGTCCAAGTCATTTTCCAATGTGACTCGAGTCGAGTCCGAGTCACGAAAAATGTGACTCGAGTCCGAGTCCTGGACTCGAGTCCTACAACACTGCTTATTGCCAGAGGAGTCTTATTGAAGACTTCAACTAGTTTGCAGAAAGCCCATTCAGTTGCTTCTGGTCATCCAGACTAAAAATAAGATGTTTTGAACCCTTCAATTGCCTGGCAATTGAATTGTAATGAAATTGTGGCATGATCTTTCCTCAAACATATCCTGTAATCATATTGATGATTGTTTAATGTTGTTCATATTTATGATTATATTTTCCAGATATGGCGGTTGTTGACAAGCAAGCTGGCATTTTTAGACCCAAAGAATTTACTACTGGGCCTTGTACTCATGTACAATTTTCGTGTCTTTGAAAAACGCTATGGATCAACCAAATTCGCAGTGAGTGCTTTCTTTATGTTGAACAAAAGGTACAGCAACAAAATGGGGAGGCGAAAAGAGCACGTACAAAATATTTGTAGATGAAAGAATGTGCAACCTTTTTTTAGAACAACTCACTTTGCCTCCTTGACCCAAACTTGGCAACCACAGTATACAAAGAAAATCAAAGCAACAACAGAATACATTTACTGAAAAGAAACCTGTGCACATACCTGTAGCTGAGGGCTACACATTTTAGCAACAGGAATGTATATGTAGGAAAATGTATATTATTTCACTTATTTAAAGGTGTGTTCCCCATGCCATTTTCAAGTTTTATCCCAATTATTAGGTTTCTTTTATCGGTTGCTGTTTTTCTAGCAATACAAAAGCTATTCCTTTATGAATAAGTCCTCGACTGAAAAAATAAATCGGCCCATGTTTAGTTATTGAATTGTGACATTACAATTTTGAATCATTGGCTTTCAGACACTAATTCTGTTTTCGCGGGTAGGCTGGTTCCCAACCAACAATTGATATTGATAATGTGCGGACCGGGAGCCAGTCTGCTAGCAAATCCTTATTTTCAGAGGGTTGCAAACGTCAAAAAAGGGGCGGGGGGAAAAGGTTTTTGGGTTAAAAAAATACAAGTAGAAAATTTATTCATTAATAGGGAAAAAATGAATTTGTTGAAGAGCATGAGGAACGCAACTTTAATGCAAGTTTAAAAAAATGTTTTTACCAAGCTGTACAAGTGCAAGCAAAATAAAACATTTTGTCTAATGGAGCAAACCTGTTACCACATTTACCTTGAATGAGTACGATGGAGTAATATAATTTGGAAGATCACCATATTTTAGTATTATAAACATGATCAAGTTAGTTCGGATGTTTCACGTCTATAAAATATTTGGTTAAGTTTGCTATGGGCAATTCCAGTGTTACATGTAATGTCTGTGACAGAGCTTTCAAAGCGCAGTAAATTTACCTAAAAAGGTATTATTTTCTCATCTTATTCATCCGTCATCTAGTAATGGTCAAGGAGATTAATCGACCTGGAGTTTTGGATCATTTCTCTGAATCATCAATTAAAATATCATGGTTCATTGATTGAAAATCGTCCTAGAGGTGACATGGCTGCCATCGGTCAATAAGTGAAGTTAATTGGCTCTGTTGCTGATATTACACTTCCTTTCATAACGCTAGAATTTTCTGAGTAGTAAAGGTCTCATGAAACATGTCCTAAGTCAATCGTAAATCAATTAACAAGCTATCCAAGAGGACTATAACAAAGGCATTTGTCATTGTTAATCTTCTTGTGATTGTTCTCTCATTTCAACTTGTGATTGGCTTGGCTATAACTCTCTGTTTTTAAACCTGTTCGAGGAGCATGAATCATTTTCATAGGTGTCGTCGGGATATTTTGTTTCTTTCCGTTTTCAGTCGTACTTGTTTGCCAATGGAGTGATGACAGCATGTCTAGAGCTGGCCGCATTGTTTGCCTTTCATAATTACCATCATGGCAACATCCCAATATACTGGACTCCAGGACCGTGAGTTTTTTTTTCAGAACAATCTCTGAAGACAGTGTTGAACTGTAACTTGTTTTTTTTAAATGATTCTGAAGAACTCTGTAGGTCATGGCCTTGAAGTAATTATTTTACATGGAGCTTTTACCATGTTTGTTTATGCTCTGAATGATGAATTGAAAATCAAACTCGGGTAAGTCACTAGCTGTTTTTAACAGTTAAGTGCTCCCTGCCTACATAAGGCAGGAAGCTCTGGCAGTGACTATTTACGTACGGTACATATTACTTAAAAACAGCTTTGCCTTGACTGTAGGTGGTGACTGCTCTATGTTCCGACAGCCCTATGTTCCGACAACCTAGATTGTGTTACTCCTGGTTAGGGTTAGGGTTAGGAATAGGAATATGTGCAGTCGGAACATAGGGGTGTCGGAACATAGAGGTGTAACCGGTGATTGATAAGCCAGCTGTACCTACCAGTTCCCTGCTTTTGTCTGTACATGCAGATGGAATTTAAGTAGTTACATTGCAGATTGGTTACATGAAATATGATCTGATTGTTGGTGATGCTAGTCTGTGTGTAAAGGCATGGCAGGCAATTTATTACAATCTGTTTCACATACTCGACTTAAAAAAAAAAAACCCACACATTGTGTTATCCATCAGATGAAATAGGTAATTATTGGACCTAATTATTGGACAGTGTTAGGTAGTACATGTTGCATGATGATGCCAATGGAATGTGTGCTAAACAATCACACACTATTGCTTCAAACACCAAAGCTCTCTGGAACCGTCAAAATCCATCACTGATGCAGTAATCGGTATCTGTGTATTTTTTTAGCCATCTTGTTGGGATAGGGCTGTCCATTTTCAAATAATTTAGTATTTTATTACTCGCAACTGCTTGCTGCGGCAATCAATATGGGGCTCTGGAGTGTTTTACAGTAAGTAGTTTATAAATATCCAGGGCGTTAATCTGCTGAAAGGATGGGAAAATGATCCGCCATCGACAAAAAAGGTTACCGTCAACAAAAACGTGGCACCTGATAATAAAACTCTGAACTGTACGATAAAATAACATCACTGTCTTGTATTGTACGCGCATAGTATTTTTTTTGTTTTAGAATATTTCAACCAGCAAATAGCTATTCAAATATTCGGTTGATGATCGGATATTGGGATATTTGGTATATTCAGGACAGCCCTACCTTGGGACATTGAGCTCCAAGTAAAAGTGTCTCGGCTGCACCTCACTGAAAGCCTTGGTAAAAATCCTGCATTAAAGCTAATAGAACTCGATGGAATCTGTCAGGATGGGTACAGTACCCCTAAACTGACAGTCTTTTACATTGGGTTGGCACACCTCCAGAATCAAAGTCAGAAATATGTGTGAGCAGTTTCCCATATGGTGTTGGAATTTGCCAGGATGGGTATGGTTCCTAGTAAATCATGCTAGGGAGTTGGGTTAAGCCAAGTGGAGGATGTTGGAGGGTAAGTGTTAACTTGAGGATCCTTGGAATTTTCACGCAAGTTCAATGCTCAATGAGTCAGCAACTGTGTCAGGAGAGTTAAGAACAGCATAGAGATTTCCTAAGCACCTAATAAAGTTACATAGCAATAAGAGTTTGTCGTGCAATGTGACTGGCTCTCAGCCGATTTCTTCAAAGGTAGAGTAGATCATTTGCAGCTATCCAAAAAGTAACTGACCAAATTATTGTTGAAAAGCTTACTTTGTTTGAAGATAGTATAATGGCAATTAACTCCCTGTGAAATTATTCTTTCTGGCATGCTGTCATTTTGAAGAAAACAATAAAAGAAGGCCATTTCCAAAGATGTGTCAAGTGACACATTTTTGGAAATTTCCGTGAGTAGTTTGATTGTAATTCGGCGAATTCGTGAATGGGTGCGCGCAAGTGTTGACAAGACCGCACGTGCGCCCCGTTACTATTATTCGTCGGTTCAGTGTGTGACATTGCATACCTGCAATCGGCTGACTGAGAACGTGTCCAGAATGCTGGTTTCGGGCTCAATTCAAACCATGATTTGGCAACTTTTGTATTGAAGTAGAGATCGTAGAATATTGTTTTCTAGGAATATACAGCATTCACAGAGCTAAAACTGCACCTGTCTTTAGATTTTGAGCACTTCTTTGCTTCAAACGAAACAAATGATAAATGATCTACCCTATTTTAATTAAGCATAGACATTTGCTAAGCAGTATTTATTAGCTTCTCTGTAAAACTGGGCTCAGCTTCTTGGTACCAAACAGTTTACAATCCTCCTGCACGTTATAACATCCTGAAACCCTTGATTTTTTCCCCTGTTTTTCAGGACGGGAGTCGTGGCATCACTATTTGTGCCGTTCGTCTGTGATGTGCCCTATATTTCTGGTCAGAATGTTTTTGGCCATTTACTGAATGGAAAGTGGTTAGTGTACATCTTCGGATTACAAGTGAGTGCCTTGCCTGTGTCCTAATCATTAAAGCTATAGTCCATCATTTGCAGCTATCCGAAAAGTAGCTGGCGTAATTATTGTTGAAAAACATACTTGGTTGAAAGATAGTAAGGGGACTAAACACCCTGTGAAATTATTCTTTCTGGCAAGCTGTCATTTTGAAGTAATCAACGGAAGAAGGCCTTTCCAACGGTGCTTCTTAAGACGCACCGTAGGAAAATTTAAATTAGTAGTTCGTTTTGTTATTCGGCGAAGCGCGCGCAAGCATTGGCACGACGCACACGCACCCCCGGTTGCTATAATTCGTCAGATCAGTGCGCGACATCGCGTAGCTGCATTCGGCTCAGCGAGAACGTGTCTCGGACGCTGAATTCAAGCGCAATTCAAAACATGATTCAGCAACTTTTGATTTGAAATTGAGATCCTAGAATGCTGTTTTTCTCAGAACATACAGCTGAAGCTGAGCTGAAACTTTATCAGGTTAGTTGTTCAGTACCCTTCTTTAGATTTTGAGCACTTTTGTTGCTTCAAACGAACAAAATGCACAAATTACAAATGATGGACTATAACTTTAAACCAAAAAAACTTTCTTTTTTTTTCTACTTTCCAAGCTCCACAATTGCAGCATTGTAGCACATGGAACATTGAATTTTTTTGTATGGGGATTACAGAGTTTTTGAATTTTCCAGGCACCCTGCCAAATGCAACAGAATGCAGTGAACTAATACATGCCAGCCTTGGTACCAAGTACCTACCCTGCCAAGTGCAACAGAATGCAGGGGTGGAATGCATCAGATCAGGAGACTGCTAAATGCAACAACTTGCAACAACTTTTTTGCAGTGGTGCATTCTGTTGCACTAAGCAGTGGTGCATTCTGTTGCATTAAGCAGGGTTAGGGTAACAAAAAATGAGTGAGGTAAGCGTATCCTGAAGTGGGATACTTTGAATAGATATGTTGAATTCAGTCACTTTTGTAACTTGTGCAGAGAACTTCTTTCCGAGTCTTTTCTTTATACTAAATGTGCTTTGTTGGATGTGAGGATTCAACAGCGTATGGATAATCCCGACTTGAGAATGCTGCTATTCAATTCAATTCAATTCAGTTCAATTCAATTTGACTTTATTATCCCTGACGGGAAATTCCATTGGCCTTTTACAGAACAGAACATAATAAGAATATGTGTATTGTGATAAGTAGCTATGAATAAATGTAGAGAAGAAAACAAAGACATCATTGTGAACAAGACACGAAGCATTTACATGAACCTCCAAAACAAAACTTCAGAACAGTTAAGTTGTAGCAGTTTCACATATTTGCAGAAGTTTGAAAATTAAAACCTGGTGCACGTTCATAGTGATGGGATGAACACAACAAATGTACCGGTATGCAAGGACGTACTGTTCCCTTCCGCGAACCTGACTCAGCGACGAACCGTGCCCTGTTGGCATGTGTGTAAAGGGCACCCACTTTGATTACTCGCTGCATATCCCGTTGCTTGCTGAAACACCACACCGCTAAGGATGTCTTGGAACCAAGACTAAATGCATCTTGAAAAAAAAATGGTAGCATCACACCCTTTAGAAACTTTGTATTTCATTGCCGTTTCTGCAGTTGGTATCTCACTCCACACAGTCCTGCATTGTTGTGGGATGCGGTCTCCTCTCCGGCCTCCTGTACCGCCTCAACGTCTTGTACCTCCAGTCCTGGCTGCGTATCCCCAATCCCCTGGCCCGCCTCTCGGCAGCATTGCTCGGCCCTCTGCTGAGGTCCAGCCCCCCACGGGAGGGCCCCCTGCCCATGGGGGCCACCTTGGAACTCCAACGGCAGCAGCGAATGGAGTTAATGGAACAGCGGATGATCATGGCACAGTTTAGGCAACAGGCGCAGGCTAGGGGGGCTGCCTCATCTGTCAGGCCGACTATTGTAAGTTTCTCTTTAACCCTAACTCCCTAGACCTTTTTGCTAGGATGTAGCCTTAATCCTGCAAAATCCTCCAATTGGCCTCATGGAAAAATAGCATATAGCCTCAATCCTGCAAATTCCTCCGCTATTTCTTGAATATGGTCCATGGAGGGGTGACCACTGCCTGAATCCTGCAAAATCCTCCGGCTATGACTGTCAAGAGGCTGAGGCAGAGGCAGTGACATCCTGGAGCAGTGCGGAGGATGTCAAGTATAATCAAGGACTAAATTTATGCACGGCTGAGCATAAACAACACAAGGTCCGGCCCAAGACAGTGCGTACTCCGAAATCAGCAACCCACTTTTGCCATGTAACCTCAATCCTGCAAATTCCTCCAATTTGCAAAAAGGATTTTGGAGGATTCAGGGCGGTTAGGGTTGAAATTAAAGGTAGAGTAGATCATTTGTCATTTTTGAATTTGTTTCCTTTGAAGCAACAAAAGTGCTCAAAATCTAAAGCTGGGTGCTTAACAACTAACTGATGAAGTTTTAGCTCTGTGAATGCTGTACATTCTGAGAAAACAATATTCTAGGATCTCGATTTCAATTCAAAAGTTGCTGAATCATATTTTGAATTGCCCCTGAAATCAGCATCTGGAGCATGTTCTCATGCAGCCGATTGCAGCTACACGATGCCACACACTGAACCGACGAATAATAGCAACCGCGGGCCTGAGTGTAGTGTCAATGCTTGAATGCACCCATTCACAAGTACTAACAGAAATTTTAAAAAAATGTGTCACTTGACTCATCTTTGGCAATGACCTTCTTTGGTTTTCTTCAAAATGACAGCATGCCAGACGGAATATTTCACAGGGAGTTTAGTACCATTACTATCTTTAATCCAAGTAAGCTTTTTAACAATAATTTGGTCAGTTCCTTTTTGTCTAACTGCAAATGATTTACTCTACCTTTACATTCACACAAGCGATCGATCCAGGATTTTTTAAGGGGGAAATTAAGGTGTTAAAAACCAAGGAATTTTTTGTCAACTGAAGGTGAGGATGTTTTTTCATTAACGCTAACCTCCCCAACTTCATCAAAATCCATCCCCCGCATTTGGTGGATTTGGGGGACTTGGTCCTGCAGGCCTGGTTTACTAAATATTAATGGAGTACATGTATGATGGACTTGGGCCTAGAGGCCTAAAGCATAGCATGCATTGGAAGCAGTGTGATTGATGAATTTTGGCGGACTTGGCCCAGTGCTGAGTAAAAGACAGTAGGGAGTTATGTTAATGTGTAAATATTTAACAGTGGTCAAACAGAAATAGGGGATTGCCACCTGAAACACCCCTATGAATATTGTTAATATATATTTTTCTATTTCCTTTAACGTAACATGTAAATGTAACATCTATTGTCCAAAGTTAACTGACACTTTTGAGTTTGTCGTTTGTTCGGTAGAGTGCACCTTTAGGCAGAGGGACTGCAGGGTCCTTAGCGTCAGTCTTCAGGCAGCGGCAGAACCGTACCAGTAGTTCAGGTAAGCTGATATTCAGAATGATGCAATGCGCACAAAAACATGGCCTTTAGTCAAGTCCCACGCGCTTATCCGGACACGTGACGCACCCGGACGCTGGCACGTAAAAAGACTAGCACGATCGGCGAAGCCGCGAGGGCCTTTACCATCTCGTGGAGAGCGCTTATGTTTTTCTTTACGTTTGTCTTCCAATTTGCTAGACAAATTGTCATGCATAATGCATGACCTGTTGTGAATGCGTGCGCGTCTTGTTTTAGCGCGCGCTCGAGGGCGCGCGCGTGTCATCACCTCAAAAGTGGCTTGTTGGTGGTGATTGGTTCATATATATCGGCAAACATGCATGATTCATTTTACTTAGAAAATGAAAAATGATTAGCTCCACGAGATGGTAAAGGCGCTCTTGGCTTCGCCACTCGACTGGTCTTTTTTCGTGCCAAAATCTGGGGCACCGGGCATCCAGGTAGACAAGCGCGCCTTGACTAAAGGCTAACAAAAACGTGGAATTTTGCTTAGATATGTATATGTTACAGTATTTTACAAATTACAAATTTGAAACCTTAAATATAAAATCTTCTGTAACAAGAATCCTGTACGTCTACATCTAAGGGTTTCAGAGATAAAAAACTAACCTAATATAAAATGTTTAGGCTGTTTCATACTTTTGGGCAGACATTTTAAAACACATTATTTTAGTTGAACACCGTTTAATTTCTATAGGCCATTTCATGTGTGATGTCTCATTGGAAAACTTGTACTACTAGAAAAAATAAGTTGTTCCAATATGAAGCATTAAAGGTGTCACACCTTTAAATAAGCATAGATATACCACAATTTTCATGGAATGATGGATGTTTAGAGTTTAATTGAGCGTTCTCATTTTGGATTTCTCTGGATGACAGGAGATACCCCCGACACGGAGCCAGGCAGCGCGCCGCACTCTAGTCAGCCACCTGCAAGCAGGGACTTCAGCTCAGTACCAGAAGAACATGTGAGATAACAATAAGAACTATATGTGATGCGATCAAGCTAAATGAGTGGTTTGTCGACCCCGGTCAAAATATTTTTTATTACAGATTTGAAAAGAGCACAATCTCAGCATTACTGTTGTGAAAACCGCATGCTGATACCATCTTTAGTTAAAAATTTATGGAAGTCGGAACACCAAGAGATGTGACGAAGTGATGTGATGAAGTGGCCCTATTTTGGCCTGTATCTCCAAATGAAAATTCCCGACAAACTACTCACGTAGCTTGATCCCATCACATATTTGATGTGGGCACTGTAATAATGCAAATTTGGGGAACAAAGCAATTGAAAAATCCTGTTCACAAAGGCAGTTTAATCGAACCTTTAGCTAAATCTAACAATAAAATATTGCAAAAATGTAATATTTGAATTGTAGCAACATGTAAACATGTGCGGTAGCCAAGGATTCATGTCTGTTCATACCCACAAAATGGTGTCTGTGACTGTTCAAACAGCAGGAGGGTTACTGCTTATTTGGCCCAAACAGGCTCTGGTATCTTTTCCTGTGTTTTTTCTTTGAATTTGGGGCACTGACACGCATTTTGTCTAAATGTTTTTGACAAACTGTGCATTTCACATACAAGCATCAGTTCTTCCATATGCATGAATATTGCAATTACGTAGCCTTGAGGAATTCAAAATCAGCAATTTCCTCCACGGAGTATTTTGCAGGCAGGCAGAGCTGACCAAAGTTGTGATTGCGAGGCATCATCTCCCAAAGGATGCTCAGTGAAGAACACAGATGGAGGGCATACTTTCAAGACATTTAAAAAAACAGTCATGCTTTGCATGACAAAACTAGTGGCTGGGAAATAACACTAGTGCACACTAGTTCGCATGTATGTGACGCAAAGTACCCACGCCTTATTTTATTCTGCACATACACAAATCTGTAGCATCTTAGCATGGCCTTCAGGAATCCTCCCAGTGGCCCATTCCAACTTCCTCTTTGTAACTGTGTTATGTGCATCGAGTCCAAAACATCATCCCTGATGTTACTGGTAATCCCTGATATTATTTGCCTCCTGCAGGTTCAGCAGCTGACTGATATGGGTTTCAATCGTAGCGCAGTGGTGCAAGCTCTCCTGGCAACCCACAACAATGTTCCCATGGCAACCAACCTACTGCTCCAAGATGGCTGACCGTTAGGTAGTTTAGTTTCTGCCATATCATGTAAAGGGGATGAGATTTTCCCACTAAATTGTACATCAAAAGTAAAAGGACTATTTTCAACTAAAATTTTGAAATAATTAAACGTCAGTGCTTTCTTTCTTTTGCTTTCCCGCTCTAAGTTAAACAACAGGATTGAAAGAGGTTGTTGTTAATTTTTTTTTCCAAATGTTGTCCAAAATCTGAGATTGATGACCCCATGCATCGTAATCAGGACTCGGGTTTCTAACAACTCAATGATGCTACTACAGCACTAAAACCTAAATCACTCAACAAGAACTCTTACTTGTTGCGTCATTTGTTTGCTGCCCCCAGCAGTAACTTTTAGAATAATTTAACAAGTGGGCCTATTGCATACAAATAGCTGTCAAAATATCTTTTGTGTCAGAAACAATGATGTATTTTTAATTTTAATATGCCTTAGGCTACTTAGAACTGAATAATGAACGTCTTCCTGCAGTCGACAACCTCTTTAAGCTTAAAAACAGCATTGTGCGCTACCATGGATGTAAACGCTTACATTGTTTTAGCACAATGATTGCCACCTGGGATTGAGACGCAGGTGTACATTATATATCCAATTAATTGACCACTTAATATTGTAAAAAAAAAAAAATCAGTAATTATATCAATTTTTTTCAATATGATGTAAAGAAAAATAGGTTACGTTTGTATAAATTTGTATATTTTAAACGTACATTATCTGAGCTAAGATTCAATTGAAAGAAGTATGGGCTCCGTGCACAAGTACCCCCTCAACGGCAAGGAAGGGAGAGTTGGGGGAGACCACTTGGAGGGACATTACAACGCATTGCTGACTACGCCTAATGCTCATGCGAATATGCTATGTCTTTGTGCACATTCAGAGTTAAATTATTAGTGCATACTTCGCGCCATATGCGCGAACCAGTACTCGTACACGTTGTGTCCCTCCGCTGGGCTCCCAAAAGTGGTAAAACAGCGCCCTCTCTTCTTTGCGCACGGAGCCCATACATGAAATAAATCTAGTGGTATTGCACATTAAAACAATGACCTCCGACTATGCAGCTGACGGTGAGCCTATCTAACTGCTCAGAATGACGCTCATTGGAGACAAGTCAAGGCATTGGCTTGAGAACTGTTGTGCATTTATAGGTATATGTGCAGGGTAGGGACAGGAGGGGAGAGGGGGGGGGGGGTAGCCATGCATCTGAACTACTGAGTGAAGACATGGCTTTAATCCTCGGGCTCTGGCTTTTCTCAAACCCTGGCTTTTAACATAATTGGCGCTTTCTCAGCAACCCATTGTGCTGTTTTCATGATTTTTTTCCCTTCAATATCTGATAGAAAAAGCTCTCAGCTTGAATCTGATACCCAAAACATAACAACTCACCGATCATGTTTTTGGAAAAAGGCAAATGTTTCAGGGTTGCATTTGTTGGGGTCACCCTGTAGAGCAATAAGCCATTTGCGAGTAACCTATACCCTTTGGGATTAACATTTGAAAAACGTCTGGTACAATGACTTGCTCAGAATGCGTGGCACATTTTAACTTTGAATTCTCCAGACCAAATACACTGTTGCTAATCACAAGATTCGGGGCAAGCTCTTGCATAGCAACCTCTTCCCCAGGGTGTCGATCAGTACGCGCCCACCACTACCTGCTCTCTCACCCTGGTATTGGATCATTTGCATGTGCAAGATTTTTGTACACGTATGCAAATGAGGAACAGTCTGGTGCCTGGATATGCGTGACACATAAGCGTTTGTTTTTGTATGGGGTGTCTGGGGTAAAAACAGAGTCAATTCGTAGCAGCGCGAGCACGGCGTGAGTTACGAAAACACGATTTTTTAAATCAAACTGTTACGAGCTTATCGAGACAACATGCATTATCATATTTCATATTAATATGAGCAAATTGGAAAGGAAATTAGTATTTTCGAGAAGGCGTGGACGAATGATCGCGAAAACACGTACTGCACCGTGTTGTGAATATATAGCACCAAGTACACGATAAAAATCTATTACTAGCCAATTGCGGTATCCAATCAGGATACGAGAAGAAAGTTTCCTATCCAGGGTTTACTATTGGAAACGCGGTTGGAAATAAAGTAAGCACTGGGGACGAGGTTGCTTGCATAGTTACGTAAGAGACGCTCAGCACCAATACATCGATCACAATGGGTGAGAATGGTACACTGACACCAGACCATGCCGGAGCTGGGGGTTGCTAGCATAAGGCTTGCCCCGAATCACGTGATATAATAACAGTTTCTGTGGTCAGGAGAATACTAGGTTAAAACGTGCAAAGCATTGTATTAAGTCAGCGTTCCAGATTTTATTCAAATTTAACTCGCAAATGGCTTATTGAATTCAGCAGCCACCGTTGAGTTGTGCTCTGTCATGTTAATTCATTAACAATAAATGCACATGAATGTGTGTCCCTGTGGAACACGGCACATACCTCAAAGATGGCCGCAGTGCACACGACCTATGATTACGGTGCTGGACTTGCTTTATAATAATTTCATATATATGAGCTTTTGTTTGCCAAGTGGGTGTATCTTTGCTGCTTCTTATTTTAGCTTGTGGTGTAATGAAACAACTTTAAAATAACTGGAACCATCAAGTTGCTGTTTTTCAGCACAAAAAAAGTCTGTATTTTATTTACTTTATATTAAATACATATGATTTTAGTAAAAATGTTTGTTTTTATATTAAATGTTAAAATGTTGCTTTGTATATGTGAGGTCAAACTTTTGTTTACATATTTCTTCACTTTCTTTGTTCCTTAGTGGCAGACACTAGACAGTACATAGAATATGTCGATTTTGGTATGCTTTCATAATTATAGAAATCAATATACTATTGCAGCTACTACCCCTGTTTCAGCTGATGAAATGATTGTAGCACATTGAAAGCCAATTTCTCTCCTTGAAAGTGTTACCTTCAGTGCCTATAGTTTAAAGAAACTTCAAATGTAGTACTGAAGAAAAACCAGCGGCAGATCCACCACCCCCCCCCCCCCCGGCACAGCCTCAGCCCCCACGAACCTCTCTGGATCCACCCTATGTACCCTCCATTTCAAAATCACTTTCAGCCGATGGGTTGGCTGACAGTGCCAAAGTACGTTTCAGTGTGTAAAAAGTGCCCAGTATACATATTATCCAGAAAAAAAAATGTTAAATTTGAAATTCTTTCCAGTCTATTTTCTCTTCGTACAAGTGTGGATTCATATTATATCCAGTGGTGGCAGTGTTGCATATTATATACTGTGGGTGTATTGTGTACATACAATATGCTTTTATTGTGGCCCAGAATGTATACGTCCTTACCAATGTGTACTAACTACCAACTGTTTTATATTGAAATACAATAGTGTAAACAGCTGTTTGTATATATATATATATATAGCTCTACAGAGATGTATCGAGCACTGTGAATTGTGATAGAAGACGATTTCATTGGATATATATATATATATATATATATATATATATCCAATGAAATGAATATATTCTGCTGATGAGTGCCTTATGGTACGAAACAGTCTGTTCAGAAAGAGAATATTCTGAATTTATTGCATATATATATATATATATATATATCGATTTCCCTTGATTTGCATCGTAAAAATGTGAGGTTTTTGCTGTACAAAATTTCACACCTTACATTTCCAGTAATCTTGTAATATATTGCTCACTGGACTATGTACATACAATTTGTGTTGGGAAATATGAACATACATGTAATATATAACACACATTGCATCAATGCATTTGATGGATAGTCCCAACTTTCGAACAATTATTGTGCTTTATCGGAAATTCCGTCATTCACTTAAGGTATGAACCATCATATTTAGGGTTTGTATTTGCATTGGTGAAAGTTGTCACCATTTTCAAATAAGCCAATCATAATGCTCTCATTCACTTTATATTGTAGGTGGACATTGTCATTTTCGTTTTTAATCCTCACACAAAAGAGCACCAACCCCCCACTTTCACTGCTGATTTGATATTTGTCTATGTGCGGTATATTGGAGACTTCCGGTTCTACATGACAGCATGTCAAGGACCTGTCTTGTCGAGTTTGAAGTAAAAGAAATATATATCATCTTCAAATTGAATATGACCGACTGAATTGCTTTTATTTCTAGTGGTGTATACATTTTGTAATCTGAAATGATTTCATCCTGTTGTAAAACGGGGACGTCTCTATATAGTCCGAAGGCCCATTGGTCCAACGTTCCATTGCTCTATACGTTCCATTGGTATAAACGTCCCAGTGGTCCGACGCCCCATTGGTCCGACGCCCCATAGGGTCGGGTTAGGGTCACTCAACCTGAACAAGTGGAACTACACAGTATTATGTTTCGGACCAATGGGACTTCGGACCAATGGGACTTCGGACCAACTCGGACCAATGGTACTATCGAGACGTGTCCAATTTGTGCGTTGTCCAGCTCTCGGGCCATTTGGCACAGGGCAAATGGACAACAGCAGCTCAGTGTTAGGCAGGCATCGCAGATCGAACCCTGGAGTGGATAGAAACAAAATATTGGCATTATCTGTGAAATTTACTGGAACAGCCTTTAAACACCCTCACTTGATAGTCTTGATAATACACCAGTGCTCTACCAAAACGGGCTATCTAGCTTGTCCTATATCAGCAGTCTTCCTCGATGAATTGAGCGCTTGCCTTTATAATAGCTGGAAGTTCTGTTGGTAAATTTCCAATATCTTGTTCCCGAGGTTCTAGGCTCAAGTCCCACTGGAGTCAATTTGTGTCTTTAACTAAGTTTCGATTGAAATTGAGCCCTAAAAATGTGCGTTTTCCAGAGAAAATAGGTGTATAGACATGCTAAACAAGGTACATTTATTATTATTATTAACAACAACAACGAAGGCTGGAACCAAGGGTTCTAAGATTTAAGACTCTGTCTTGGAAAGACGTTTAGTAACCCAAGAAGAAAAAACTAGTTTCTGTGAGGTTGTGCAGCAGAAGTTACACTTGATGTTGAAACATAGTGAAACATTGTGCCCACAAAGAATTTGTTGTCAGTTTGTTATACACGGGTCAAGGGTGGTCTGTTCTTTCTTTGAAGTGATTTCTGGGAGTTTGGCTCAAAGTCAGTGACTTGCCTAAGATCACACTGAACATCCGAGCAACGTGAATATTAAAATATAAATACACACAAGCTGAGAATGATGAAATCCATACTGACACATATTCAACGAGCAGGGTGTAAAATCGATGATGGGAAGCCCCATACCCAAATGAGAAATGTTTTCTGGTTGCTGTTCAATGGCAAACTATCCCTAGTGTATTTACCTTGCTTGTTATAATAAGCTGTGGCAGATGCAATGTGCTGTCAGTTGTTGCACATTGATTTGGCTTGGATGAGCTTATAGGCAGTTGCATGAAAAAAAACACCAAAGATGTAAGTGTATTTATGCATGAGAAATCGTTTGCAATTGGCAAGTTCGTTCATATATAATTCACAATTTGGTGTTCAAGTCGTCGTTGAATATTTGGTGTAACAATGAAACCGTACTGTGAGATTCACTTTATGTGAATGTATTCATCCAATGGTCTATAAAATTATAGTCAGATTTAGTTACTTGAGTGTATTT